CACACAAACACGCACATCAAAACAGTGAAAGGTTGTAGAGAAATGGCTCAATCATTTTGTGATTGATGACAGAACAAGGAAACAGATTTTATTTAATACACGTTAAAAAAAGAAAGGTGTAGGTTGTTTCACTGAAGTATCTAGGATTTTCTGATAATTCTTTTCTGATACTACATTAAGAACAGACATTTTATTTATTCTGAGGACATAATAATCATGGATGTACCAAAAGATTTATCTCAATGAATGTTCATAGAAATACTGTTTATAATACAGAAAATTGAGAGCAGTATAAGCAATAAGTGACCAGACAAAAATATACTATGTAATTAAAGATTTTGCCACTAATAAATATTAAAGAATATTTAACAAGGAACAAGTTGATTATATAACTGGAAAAAAATTAAGTTCAAAAATAGTTAATTTAGCAGATTCTCATACTGGTAAAATAAAAAATACACATACATAGAACAATGTGGTAGGAATTCAAGAAATATCCTTCAATGAATAAGAATAGACTAGTCACAATGCTGTCAGTGACAGGATAATATCCATACACCTACAAAGAAGACCAGTTAACATGTCTATTATTCAAATTTATGCGCCAACCACTAATGCCAAAGATGGAGAAATTGAAGATTTTTACCAGTATCTGCAGTCTGAAATTGATCAAACATGCAATCAAGATGCATTAATAATCACTGGCGACTGGAATGTGAAAGTTGGAAAATATAGCCTTGGTGATAAAAATGACACCGGAGATCACATGACAGAATTTTGCAAGACCAAAGACTTTTTCGCTGCAAATACCGTTTTTTAACAACATAAACAGCTACTACACACGTAGACCGCACCAGACGGAATATACCGGAATCATATCAACTATCTCTGTGGAAAGAGATGTTGGAAAACCTGAATATCGTTAGTCACGACAAAGACAGGGGCCAAATGCGGAAAAGACCATCAATTGTTTTTATGCAAGTTCAAGTTGAAGCTGAAGAAAATTAGAACAAGTCCATGAGAGCCAAAGTACAACCATGAGTATACCCCACCTGAATTTAGAGACCAACTCAAGAATAGATTTGACACACTGAACACTAATGACCAAAGACCAGACGAGTTGTGGAATGACATTAATGACATCATGCATGAAGAAAGCAAGAGGTAATTAGAAAGACAAGAAAGAAAGAAAAGACCAAAATGTATGTTAGAAGACTCTTAAAGTTGCTCTTGAATGTACAGCAGCTAAAGCAAAAGGAAGAAATGATAAAGTAAGAGCTGAAAAGATTTCAAAGGGCAGCTTGAGAAGACAAAGTATTATAATGACATG